GTCGGTGTCCGGGCCAGGTTGCTAGGTCGACGCCTGTGTCCGGCGCCTGTGTCTGTCGGGGGGTCGGTGTCCGGGCCAGGTTGCCAGGCCGGCGCCTGTGTCCGGGCCAAGTTGTCAAGTCGGCGCTTGTGTCCGGGCCAGATTGCCAGGTCGACGCCTGTGTCCGGGCCAAGTTGCCAGGTCGACGCTTGTGGCAGGCTGATCCGGCTAGGTCGCATAGGCTGCGCCAAGCCGCGTGTAGGTCGCGCTAGGCCAGCCAAACCGGTGCCCGGGGGGGACACCAACTTGGTAAGTTGTTGCCTGGGTGCTTGCCTAGTTGTCACGAGGTGCCACGTGTCGCAATTTCACTGGAGGGCCAAATCTGCCCTCATCACCTCCCTTCAAATTTATGACATAGGCTCAGTTTGGAACATAGAAACAAATATGTACAATATAAATATATACAAAACAATACAAAATACATGGTTTTGTACAATACATATCTGTATTTGTACTCCTTCTAAACTGAATCATATGTACAAATACAAATATGTACAGCATAAATACATACAAAATATAAGATTTTGCACTCTACATGCTTGCGTTTGTACTCCTTCCAAACCCAGCTGCAGTTGCAAATGGTTAGAATCCTCTAACGAGAGGTACAAAAACTTCCAAAATACGTGTAGTTATTTCTGACCAAAATGTTTATTTTCCATTTTTTTTTTCTTTTTATACTAATCACTATTCCAATCATCTCCCATTTATTTTCATAAGTTAATTTATTTTCTAAATTTTTCCTTCATATCAATTGCTCAAAAAAGTAAATTTATAATTTTAAAACTTTCTTTTTTGTTTTGTTCATAAAATTTGTATTATTTTTTCTGTAGATACCAGCATCAATAGCAACTGTATGGGTATTTTGAAAGGGTTTCTTGCAACTATATTAAAAAGTTAAAGGATGTGATGAAAATTAGAAAACGTTAGAAAAGTTTTCAGCAACTTTCAGAAACTTTAGCGGAGGTTCAGCAATTTATCAAAAATTAAATTATACAATGTAATTATGTAAACGTGTAAACAAATTAGAGCGAGTGGTGTTAATCGTCATGGCGAGTGTAAGAGCGAGTGTTACTTCTGTCTGCTGTTTCCTAATTGGTAGTTCAAGAGTCAAATAGTTCCCCGACAGGAGCAACAACGACACAGAAGAAGGGCCACGGTGAAACATCACGAGCGCTAGATCGAACGGTTTGAGTTTGATCCTCAATGGACGGAAAGCATTTCCGAGGCCATAATCGACGGCTCGCGATCTCCAGATTTGATTCTGCTGTCTGTGGTGGGCACGCTTCTCAATACATGAATTAAATACTTAACTGCAGTTAGCTCTTAACCCAACCCCGAGTTAACCCCCCAATCTCTCTCTCCTTTAAATTCTACTTTTTCTCGTTCTGATCTCCTGAGCGTGTGTTCTTCCTTGTGCGCTTTCGCAATCTCTGACTGTTCAACTGGAACGCTCAAATTCGCGAGCAATAAAGAAAAGTTTGAATTTTTATGCTGATTTGAGCTGTTCTTTTGGTTTTCTTAGTCGCGATCTTCTCAGAAACCCTAGGTTTGGCTCTGTTACTGTGCTGTCCCTTGTTCAGTTGTTCTGTTGAGTTTCTTGTGGGTTCTAGGGTTCTTAATAGATTCATTTTAGGTACCAATTCATTCGATTTCAGTTGTGTACGTGTGTTTTGTGCAGAGTCGAGCTTCGCTTAATGATTTTTTGGCCACAGATTTGTTTCAAGGTTGACACTTTTTGTATTCTTTCGTTACTTTTCTTCTGTTTCTTAGAGATCTTTCTTTAGTTATTATCTCGGATTTGGTTTGTTTAATGGGTTTCTCATTATTTTGTAAACTAGCGTATAATTTGAGCTGATTTCTGTTATTAATAAAAGAATGCGTTGATTTGGTGTCGAATGAATATAGGGTTTTTCTGAATGTATAAACAGACCCATTTGTTTGGGTGCGTTTTTGAGGCGTTTTTAGTCAAATTTTATCTGAATATCATCAAATAGATGCCATTATTTAATCGCTTTTGGATTCATGGCTCGCTGTTTTATTTAAATATTATTTTCAATGTTTTTTGCACTGTTTATTTGCTAATAGTGTTTTCTTTTCGTCATAGTTTTCTCTAAAATGTACTGGATAGTACTATTGTTTTTTGTTGTTTTGTTTTCTTTTAGTTTTCCTGCTTATTTAAGTTTAAGGTCGAATCGCTTCATCTTTTTTTTAAGTTTCTTCTCTGATTGGTTTTTATAGTTCAATAGTTGCCGTTGCTTCAGGGTTGTGCAAAAATTTACACTTGTTCTTGTTTTGTCGTTGTTTCAGGGGTTTAACTGAAAAAGTCGGTCAGTATGCCGTGGACATCTTCTTTTGTTAATTACAGCAGGAACTGTGTCCGCTTGGTGGTATTCTTCCGTGTGATACTGTAAAATTCGAGCTTCTGTCGTAAGATCCTCCTCTCTAACTTATATTTTGTTTTCATTTCATGTATCAATAGTTTTCTTATTCAATTCAATATCAATTTTACTTTGTTGAATACATATTTATGTATTTTTTTTTCTTTGATGGATAAATTAGTATTTAAGTTGAAAGATCTAATATTGGATGCTTAAACCATCTTAAGGTTAATCTGCTCCTCTTTTAGTCCTTTCTTCATTTGCATTAAGGAAATAGTAGTAAGGGCTTTCTGTGTTATCAATGCAGGTGAGAAAATATTTGGTTCTAGAGGAATTATTTTCATTTAGACCTTATTACAATATTGGTCTGGTAGGAGTGAGAATGTACGTTGCAGTTAACCTGAAAAGATATCAAAAAGTGAAGGAAGTCGGGAAAATTACAATGAATGTCAGGGTCATTGCATGCTATCAATTAATGCAAGTTTGTCAGGTAAACTTTTTTGTATTGTTATCTGTAGTTCAAAATTTTCCTTCGAACGTTTTTTTATAAATAATTTTCCTTCAAATTTAGCATTAATTTCCTATCTTTGATTGTTTTGGGGTTTCTACAACTAGTTTCTTGAAATCTATGCATTCAATGTTGTGGTGGGAACCTAGGAGGAAGCTTGAGTTTTTTTTTTTCTTTCATAATATTGACATTTCTGCAAATTAACAATTTATGTGATTGTGTTACTTTATTTATGTTTGTACTGAACCATGCTACTTTTCCCCAGTTTCTACAAGCTTCCTCATAACAAAATCCTGGGATATTTTTAATTAATTTAATTTTAATCCTACGAGGTAATTCAGCATGATATTTATCCTTTTGGTGGCATATGCTGTCATTATTTTTGACTATTTACATGTAACACCATGCAGTGGGTTTGCTTGCTTGACAATTTTGTGCAATAAAATTACCCTATCTGCCATGATAAATCTGTGGTGGATGATATTTTCAAAACAAAACAGTATTTTTCCTTAGGATATATGAAACATCTTATGTGTCAAGAGATGGGAATTTACATAGGACTTCTTTTCGTTTCTCTTCCCTTTTTCATCCATTTATGGCTGATAATTGTGCATATTTGTTATGAAGTTTGTAACATAGGCTCAGTTTTGAAAGAGTACAAATACAAATATGTACAGTACAAATACATACAAAATATTAGATTTTTACATATTTTTTATTTGTACTCCTTCCTGAATGAGGTAGAGTAGAACTTTTGAAGGGATTGAAAGTAAAAGACCAAGAATTGACATCAACAATGTTTTCCCAATCTTAATCTTGCTATTGGACTCCATTATTTGTAGGTTATTTTAATCATGCACATTATTTTTCTAGTGTTTTCATGTTCATGCATGCTTATAATGTCAAATTAGCTATGAGTTTGAGTTGATACTGTTGATGTTGCTACAGAGGTTGTAGTACATGCATTATTTGTCTGCATTCACTTTTCTTCATAGAAGTTTGCTTAGGCAAGAACTCTGAGGTCTTCATTTGCATTCAAGTTTTTCAAATATATCCTTTTTTTGAGGATGTATTTCAGGAAGTTTCTTTTGGCAATATCCCAATTCCCAACATCCTGTATCTTTAACTAATGTTTGAGGTTGGTGGTTGCAATTATCATTTATGTTTTTGTCTTTCTCATGGCAGGCTGAGTACTTTCGCCAGTTGCTTAAGCCTGTTACGTAGTTCAAACATCACAGGCTCCTGGACACAGAAGCTGACTGCCCTCTTGCTTTGTCCATTCATCAGATGGCAGTAGCAAAAATGAATTATTTGTACATGGTAGCTGTTAACTTGGGATAGGCAGCTCTCTCATCATCATGGTGATAGCATAAGCCCCTCCAATTTAGTCTCCCGTTTACCTTAGGAAACCTCTCTTTGAAACTGAACTTCGGTGTTGTCAACACCATCACTCCCCATCCATCCACACGCTGTATTTGACTGATCACTAGGTCCATTCATGCAGGGTGACCAACATTTTTACCCTAGAAAGGTGGTGCCACCACTTGCTTATCAAGTCAGTGGTAGCTGTATGTTTAATGCTCCTGTTGCACCCTTCTTAGGTGCAACTCTACCACCATGTCTAAACCAGGGAGCACCCATTCATGGGTTTGAATTCCAACCTTCTGAAGTGTGTCCAAGGAATTTCATTATTTTTGACCAGACTGGTAACAAAAACCGGATCATGTTCCATCCTGCACTTGCCAACAAATTCAGTTGCCCTGGATTTGAAATATGTGGGACTCAAATCGAAGACAATGGAGCGAGGAAAGATATAGACAAGGACAACATAGAATCCATCACTCCCTTGAAGGAGGACACGGAAGACATTAATGCATTGTTGAGCTTGGAAGAGGAAGAACAAGAAGATGGGGATGTAATCAGCACTGCACGAACTCATGGCAGCTATAGTAGCAATTCTCCAGATTCATGTTCAACTTATGGTTCAAAACCCAGCAAACGTAGGTTGTCATCCTCTATTCAGAACCCATTTTGTGGCAGTGGCAGCAGTTGCAACAGTGAAACTAAACGTCTGAGAATGAAGAAGATGATAAAGGCACTGAGAGGAATTGTGCCTGGTGGCAAACAGATGAGTACTGTTTCTGTGCTTGATGAAGCAGTTAGGTACCTCAAATCTCTGAAGGTGGAAGTGAAGAAGTTGGGCATAGGGAATTTCAAGAACTGAGCCAAAGTCTCCACCATGGTAACGAAGATTGAACTCTCCTTTTCCTTTTCTTCCTTTGATTATCAATAATTACCATCTTAGTTGAATGCTCTCTTTCTCTCTCTCTCTCTCTCTCTCTCTCTCTCTCTCTCCCCCTCCCTCCTTTATGCCATGTTGTATGGCATAGCCTTGATGCTTTTGGTGGTGGGTCGATATTGGCTTAGGCAAGGGAGGTTGATTCAGTTGGGTTGGGTAAGGTGGGATGGGAACTGTGAACTTTTAGGCTTTAGTGACTGGCCCCTGTTTGGTTTGTTGAATGATTGAATCAAAGGGCAGGGTGGTGCTGGGTTAAGGGAGTTTATGTATTGTTTATGTTCTTGCTACTTCCGTCATTTCTCTTTCAATGTCGTAATAATGTTTTCAATATTACATATTTTTGCATTCTCCCTGTCTTCTTTCCATCTGCCTTCTGCAGTCTTTTTAAGCATCCTATTTTATTAATATCCATGACTGCTTTTTGCTGTATGGGATCCAAATCGATTATTGGTTTAATAATGCTTCAATGGGAATTCATTACTTCTATGAGGATTGTGGACATGACATTGCCTCTCTCTCTCTCTCTTTCTCTAATTAATTGCATTTTATTAAAACCTTTTGTGTTTGTTTCATATGCTGGAAATCTTTGAGACGAGAAATTATAGGTCATGCCATGCATGGTGCTGTACCTTGGACCTCACCATTTCCAATAACTAGTGGTCTTAGTGGCACAAAGCCCACCCTCTGGGTTGGATTGGAATTTGAATTGGCTATAAATTAATGGATGCACCGTGCACTGACTGCAACTGCTGAGCTTTTGGAACCTTCCGGATGTCGTATATCCCTTTGATCAAGGCCCAGTCTGCAATTTTGTATCCTAAGCCAAATCCTGCTTCTGTGTTCGGACAGCAAGTAGAGGTAAATGCAATGTAAGGCCCAGTCTAAAACAATGACCTCAGTCAGATTCTCAGTTCTCAGTTACAGGCTACCCCATGGGGTCCCACACAGGATTTCCTCTAAAACTTTCTAGGACTGATCAGATCTTCCTGAGTTCCTATCACTCACTTTTTCCGGTCTGTTCAAATACTTTTGAGTTTCGAGTCTTTTGACCACTCCAAGAAGCATGTGAATGCGAAGGCGGATTTCTCTGATATAGAGGGAGACTGGGAACACCAAATTTGAAGTGGATTGTGGTTCACTGTGACCCTTTTTTTTTTGGCTTTTCCTCTTCTTTTCTGATAGGCAATTGACTGAGGCTGAGCGAGCCGGTGAGGGTGCATATTCACGTGCCGAGTTTGGTTTTGATTCCCGTTTTAGTCCTTTCAACTAGCTCCAACCTTTGTTTGGGCACGAATTCCCCAATCCCCATCACCATCGGCAAATTTGTCGTCATCTCCCCTCTCATGTGGGTAAAAGTAATCTCTCTCCGGTGAAAACACCAGAGTTCTGTGCCAGTGCCACATGGAGGAGAGTACCCCAAGTCGTCAGACCTAAACTGTTCAACAACGTTAGCCGGAAGTACAAATCTGTTTTTTTCCCCCACGGCGGTCTATCCGGCTAAAAGTGGCCACGTGGCAGAGGTCTACCCGGAAGTACAAATCTGTTTTTTTGCCATGTGGCAGAGGTCTACCCGGCTAAAAGTGTCCACGTGGACGAGGAGTAAGGACAGAACTATAGATCCGTTTTGAGAACATGTCAGATTGGTGTTGCACATGACTTTCCTCAGCTCTGAGCAGACCTATTGGGCCTCTCACCGGAAAATCAAGCCTGACTGCCTGAGATTAATTTGATCAGAACGAAGGAAAGCAAATTCCAATGAACCACGGGACAATACACATCTCTTTCCAAATTCCAACAAACCAATGTAGCTGTGGAAATCTGCTCAGATGGAATCCCCCCGGGTGCCACTCGATTCATCTTCTACTTTGATCTGTTGTTCACTGTTAATTTAATTCCGTGAACCAGGCCACTCGTTTAATGGTTCAACTGTCTGGTTTAGCGGTTTGTCAATCGAGAACCAGGTAAAAAATGGAATTGGATATGGTTGTTAGATCAAATAATTGGATGCCCATGCCCAGGTCAACAATGGTTTCAATATCGAAAGGCATAAGGCCAACTAGTGGTGGATCACATGGTAGGTTCTTTGACTCGTGGGAGTAGAGACCAGGGATCAGATCCGGTTGCCACATGAAGCAGAGTACAAAGGCATTGCTTCTTACCTACTGCGTTGCCAGCCATTATGATGGTTTTTTTTTTATTTCTCACTAGATATTATGTTCTATGGTGCTAGCTTTGGATGACTAAAAAATCATAATGGTTTTCATTTGATTCGTTGAATTGAGCGCCAAACTAGAATAAGGTCATACATCATTGAATAAATTCAGAGAGGAACCATTACCTACTATTCCTAAGGATGTCAATTGGATAGGATCTGGTCCAATCCGATTCAGTCCAATGTGAGTCCATTACAAATGGGCCAGGTCCAATCCATTCCAATGAATATTTTGGAATTGGGCCGGTCCAATTCAATGTCTGGACCATCCAATCAGTTCAAGTTTGTTTTAATTTAGATTAATTCTAACCCATACCTGGTCCATTGACACCTATTTTCTCATTTTCCATTAATGGACTAGATATTGGCTCAGTCCAATACAGATGGACCAGGTCCAATCCAATCCAATAAATACTTTGGACCATTAAGTCTGGACCAGTCCAATTCAATATGTCTTATTGATCCATCCAATCCGTCCAAATTGATTTTGGTTTGGACGGGGTTCAATCCAAAACTGGTCTATTGAAACCCCTACCTACTAAGAAGATTAAAACAAAGAATAGAATCAGTAGAGCAATGGCAAGGTGCCAACTGGTTGGTTGGTAAGGTCTCCTGCTGGTGGTAGCGAAGACTTGGGATCAAATCCTGCCTACTCCTTGGTTGGGGGGCCCCCAGTGGAGCGAAAAAAAAAAAAAAACAGCAAAGCAATGCAAAAGAAAAAGAAAAAAATAAGGAAAATTAGTATTGACATTTGAAAATACAATTAGGAGATGGATTTGTTGCAAATAGAGAAACTAATGACAAAAAAAACATTTCTTTTTCACAAGCTTGATTCTCTTAGGCTCAGTTTTGCAAGGAGTACAAATACAAATATGTAGAGTACAAAACCTTATATATTTTTTTATTATTTTGTATGTATTTGTATTTGTACTCCTTCCAAACTGAGCCTTATGCACAAATTGGAGTCTATTAATGATGTCAAGATTAGAGGGATGTCAATTAGGAATGTCAATGGATTCTGCTGATATTCTATTCAATTCCTAATTTGATTATCTCAATTTGTATATTAGAATTTGACAAAAAATATTATTTTATAATATGTAGATATTATGTATAATTACATAAAGTTTATAATTGATAAATTTAATATCTTATATTTATCTACATTAATTATACATATATAGGTTAAAAATAAGGTTATTTATTAAAATTCCCTTATAGTTTTATGGATTTACTAAAACCATAACATACAACTAATTTACTTAATCAACCTTCCATTAGATAGAAATGGAAAATGAAACACTGGCAACAATTCTATTCAGTAAAATTTGTTGTCTGATTGAAGAAGGAAGACGAACAATTTCTGACAAAGAACCCTAGATGCCATTGTTCTCTCTTCTTCATTTTACTAAAGCCGAACATTTTTTGATAGTTCTGAAAATCAAACCTTTTTTCTCTCTAGAAGCTTGATATGAATTTTTAGGGGCACTTTTGTAATAAAAATGCTCTCATGCCTTTAAACATTTTTCACTCTGTTTATATGATCACAGTACCATTCTTAGACAAAAAGACAAAGGATTCTTAAATAGAAGGTTGATTAAGTAAATTGCATGTAAACTATGGGGTGTTTCAGTAGAACATAAATTATAGGGTAGGTTTTAGTAATTATTATTTTTTTACTTTTTAAGTTTTTTGTTCATTTGAAAAATAAGATGATTGCAGATTAAATCTGAACCCGATCTGAAATCCGACATAACAATCGGATGTCTAGAGGTTTGATAATCGATGCAGATGGATCCGATTGATTACATCTCTAATGTCACTAGGTTTGGTTAAATGGTAAACCCACATCGAGCAGATCGTTTTGGGCTAGGGTTAGTTCAACACATGGTTTTAAACACCAGAGCGGACCGGTTGACCCTGGAACTGGTCATGCAACCGGTACCATTTCATCGTAAAACTGTTTATTTGGTCAGTAACCTACTGACCAAAGTGGTCAAACCATCAACCCAAGTAATGGTTTTTTATTTTTATTTTTTTTAAATCAGAATGAACAATCCATCCAAAAATGATAGCCAAAATGGTTCTGTAACCAGTCCGGTTTTTAAAACCTTGGTTCAGCATAAATCAATTTGGGTTGGACTGAAACTGTTTCTCGTGCTGAACCCAACCTATAGACATCGTAGCATTGAAACATTTGTGAATACAACCTTATAATTTATAGGTGTAGTACTATGTTTGTGATGGGGTGGATCAACTTGGTATCCTATTTCATTTCATTGGGTTGGGCCAGTTTGGATTGCAATGACTTCAGGTCAAGTACGGGCTGAACAAAACCTTGTAAGGGCCCAAGTTATTGATATCCATAGTCTTTATGGGTAAAATGTAGTCATTTTGCCTCTAATATAACCTACTTGAGGAGATCAGCTTCGGTCAGTGCAAGGCCCGTTCGAACAACCTTGCATCGGGAACATCTCTGTTCTTCTGTGCTTTATTTTATAGAAGATATTCTCAATGTAAGACTATAATGGGTGTTCGAACGGACTTTGCACTGATTAAATCCGGTTTCCTACTTGAGGCCCCAAGTAGCATGTATATTAACCATTATCTTCTCATGGTTATACATGAAATCATGGGCATGTTACAAATAGTAGGTTTACAGAGAGATTAGCACAACCATATGTCTTAATATTTTAATACAAAAACTGTCCGTCCTACCGTGCATTTCCTTAAGCCAGATTCCCTTGCAGTAGCATGCACCTGTACATTGAGAATACCTTTTTTGTATGTGTTAAATTCATGGGGAGATGTTTCCAAGGTTGTGTTTGATTGCATTGCAATTTTATTTGCATCAGTACAAATGTATGGGAGTGCAAATGAAAAAAAATGTAAATTTTATTTAATTTTGTTTTGGATTTTACTTTATTTAATCTTAGATCTTATTTTACTTCATTTTTATTGCAACCAAACAAAGTAAGGTAAAAAATTTGAAACAAAAATAAATCAAAACTTGCACCCAAATCATTTGCACTATTATATTTTTGCATCAATGCAAATTCATTTGCATTGCAACCAAACACAACCCAAGATGCGAATGGAGGAATGCTTTCAACATATAGATAGATAGATAGATAGATAGATAGATAAAGACACACACACATACACTTTTAGTTGGGGTAGGGTGGATAAATACCATCCCCACCCCTGATAACCTAAGTTTCAGGTTTCTTTGAAACATGCCTTGACCCCAATCAATGGTTAAAAAACCCACCTTGATCAGGGTGGGGCAAAGTGAAGCCCCCAACGGGACAGGTCAAATTGCCATCTCTAATTCAACTCATTATAAGCAATGTTTGTGGATAAATTGTTTCAGCCCATTTAATAGGTTTTACTTAGTTTTAAGGCCCTGTTCGCTTTTTGGTAAGTTACTTACCCGGGTAAATATAATTACCCAGGTAAGTTTTTCTTAGGAAACACTTACCCGGGTAAGTTCATTTATCCATGTTCTTTTATTTCCTAGGTAACTAAGGTAATGGCCATTTTAGCCATAAAAATTCATTATTAAAAGGGGTATTTTTGTCCCATTCAAGTGTTATCAACTTTCCCCCTAGGTGGGTAACTTTCCCACCTAGGAGATGGGTATCACTTACCCGGGTAAGTGATACCCAGGAAAATAAACTTTTCCTGGTCCCCACATAAATCCGAAAAATAAACATGGGATTCTTGGTCAATGGGAACCAAAATCCTATTAACCAACTTTCCCCTCTCTCAAAATCCAAAAAAAAGAACACCCCCTAAGTCCTAATTCTATTGTAGTGGATGGTTCATATGGCAAGTCATGTAGGGGCATAATCAGGCCCAATCATGACCTTCACAATAGCCAATACGAGGGTCTATATCATGCCCACTTAGACCACTTCAAGTAAATAACCTTATAAACCTCTTAAACATCCCCATTTGTGTGTGTGTGTGAGAGAGAATTCCATGTATAATTAAAGAATCGTATTTAGATGTATAATTTTATTTTATAGGCCTAAAAAGCCTATTTAAGTTGCATTTCATTACAAGCCCTTGCCTTAACAATCTAAATGAATTATATAAGAAAAATTAAAATTATGTAAGCATTGCAACTCAAATTAAATAGAAGAGAAGAGAACGAAGAATGAAGAACAAAGAGATGAGTAATTGAGAACCATGCATTCAGTTAGCTTCATCTTTCAAACCTCATTTTTTTTTGGATTTGTTGTATACGTTAATGATGAATGGACCTTTGTTTTCTTCAATGTAATTGAGAACTGTGCATTTAGTTAGCTCTATCTTCAATATAATTGATCACCAAATGTGAAACCAATCACTTAATGGGGTTGATGATCATACTAATGCATTTGTACTAACCCAATGTCAAATCAATCAGCTAACCCAATGATACACTTACAAAGTACTTGTAAATATTACATCACCATAATACCACAAGTTTACAACACATTGGTTCAATAACCACATTCAATATTACATCACAGTTGTGGGATTTACATCCAAATAAAATAAAAATGATCCTAAAAAAATTAAAAATAGTATCTTCTAATGATCCTATTTAGTCAAATTAGGATCGATCACCTTTGATCAGATCGGATAATATGATCCGATCAAAAATCAAATAGGATTTGGATCACCCCTATCCGATCTGATGTATATATATATATATATATATA